ACCAAAAAAGTTTATATTTGTATGAAATTATTTTACATAATATTTTTATAATAATTAATCACTATTGACACTTGAAGTCGTGATTAATAAAAAATTAATTTTCTGTTATGAACAAAAATATATAGCTACCTTTATAATATTTTTTCACTTGTTATAATAAATATTTTTATTTCAGATAAAGATGGAAATATTTGTTATTTATATATTATTATTATTCGGGTTCGTATTTGGTGCGGATGAAGTATTAGAATTAAAACAAGGAAAGTTGACTGGTAGTAGTTTGAGGACAAGAAATGGACGAGAATTCAAAGCATTCCAGGGAATACCCTATGCCAATTCACCAACTGGGGATCTTAGATTTAAGGTTAATCTTAATATATCGTGTTTCTTAAACAAGAAGAGTAAAAAATTAGAAACCGTTCTCACTCGCGTTAAATGACTTCATGGATATATCATATGTGCGGAAATAAAAATAAAGTGATGGATTAGTAGTAATTGAGCATTGATATAATCTATCTATATACCTACATCCACTGATGGTCGTATAAAAYGTGACACTTATTGCACACTTTATTGCCTATAGCAAACTCCTTAAAACTGGCAGTAACAAAATGTAATTCAGATAATTGTTTTTAGGATCCAGAACCAGCAGATTCTTGGATAGGTATTTTAAATGCTACTACTGAGCCACAAGTGTGTATTCAGAAGAATTTGTTTTATTATCAACAAGCAGATATTCTTGTCGGTGCAGAGGACTGCCTGTATCTCAATGTGTACACTCCAAAAGTAATCAATTTTTAAATAATTTTTGTTTAGTAATAATATTATAATATACTATATAATTTACATATATGTATAGATMCCAAAAAAAGGTGATAGAAAATTGCTACCAGTTATGTTTTGGATTGCCGGTGGAGGTTATTTTGCGGGTTCAGGAGGTTTAAGTTTATATGGTCCTCAATATTTGTTAGACAAGGACATAGTTTTAGTCACCTTTAATTACAGACTTGGAGTTMTAGGTATATTTATTTGAGTAATTAATTTTTATGGTTAATCTTTATTTAAGTAACTGTGCTAAAACATAGTGATATAACTTTAAACATTTAATACATTTCTAATTAAAATGTTTAGGTTTTTTAAGTACTGAAGATGATGTATTGCCAGGTAATTATKGTATGAAAGATCAAGTTTTAGCACTAAAATGGGTCCAACAAAATATTGACAAATTTGGAGGAAATCGAAAAAAAGTTACTTTACTTGGACAAAGTGCTGGAAGTGCTAGTGTTGGCTTACATTTGTTATCACCGATGAGTAAAGGTAAATTCAAGTATCTAAAAATATCAAGATACAATCATGCACATATATTATATGCTATAGGTTTGTTTCACAAAGCAATCATGGAAAGTGCGTCGCCGTTAAATTTATGGGGTGTAAGTCCACCGGGATGGGCTGAACGAAGAGCTTCTACTATTGCAACTATTGCTGGATGTCCCAAAGAACCAAGACAAATGGTTAAATGTTTAAAAGAAGTACCTGCGAAAATTTTAGTGAATCTATATAATAGATTATTTGTAAGTATATTATAAAGCTTTAAMATTAAGAAAGTTATAAGGTGAAMTATGCATGGATTAATGTAAAGACATTTTCCAATTATAGAAAACCTAATTTGAAACTCTGATACACTTTTTAGTTAGTACTAAATATATTTTATACACTTTATACCTATATTTATTATATTTATGAAATTATAACCTTTGACGCAAAATCATGTGAGTTTTWMATCTTGCTGTTACTACTGCATACCTCATACTAGTAATTATAGTTGTAAATTGTTGTCGAAGGATTTAGAGGTTCACGGCCTCCGACATCATCATCATCATCAAAAATAATCGTCAACCTATGACTAATTATATGTTTTAATCTATTCTATTCTATTTATTTTTACAGGAATGGAGAATTTATCCAGTAATTAATTTCATGCCTGTTGCTGAAAAGTGTAGTAAAAAAAAAGAATCGTTTTTGTGTAAATATCCTTTATTGGACTTTAAACAAATATCAAAAGTTCCAGTTTTAATTGGAATGAACTCTGGAGAGGGTGGTATATTTGCTTCTCGTAAGTTATTAACTATGTTTATATTTCGACAGCAATTATTGATTTAATTGCTATATACATAAGGATCTACGACGTTTCAGCAATAAGTTAATTCTACGATGTCTGTTTCGGCGTGTGACCGTTTCAGTGATACGGCAATTTACTTATGTTTGTCTTTGTAACACAGCCTCACCGTATGGCGTGTGGTAAAGAAATTTTATTTTATTTTTTCCAACTAGGTATAAATAATTATAATTATATTGATTTAATTATTTATGATTTATAGTGATTGTGGTATATATTAATACCATTGATATTAATATTTATGTTTATATATTTTTAACTGTAATTACTATAAATAATTATAATTCTTTTGGCTTATTTATTTATTTATAATTTAAAATTACTTATTATATTTTAAAATTGTAATATAATTTTTTTTTTTGCTATTTATTTTCACCCAAATGGTTAAGAATGAAAATCCAAAACGGACATCGTCGAATTGACATAAACATAATATTATCACCGAAACATCCGCTCCGAAATTTCTTATGCATAATATTGATTTAAATAATGTCATTTTATAATTATTTGTTTTATTCTAGGTATGAGTATTTATTATAAATATATATCTTTAAAATATTCTAGTTTTTTCAAATATATAATTACGATTGAAATGTGTTAAAAAATGAATTAAGGTTATATTTGTTTGTTTGTTTTTTTTTTTTTAAAGGAATGTACAACGCAACCGATCTTGTGTACACTGAGTTRAAAGATAATTTCGATCATTACGTATCGTCATTTTTAATGTATAGATATACAACAAAGTATTCTGATATTTCAATAATTGGTGACAGGATATTTAAACGATACTTCCCTGACGGGACTTTGAACGATCCTTTGAATGCTGTTAAAGTAAGTTTAATTATTATRTATTCATGTAACAAAAATACATATAATTAGTCAAACGTAATTGTAATGCTGTAATGTTTTTWAAATTATTTTACAATTCAAATAGTTAAATTTAACAACATATATAGCAGGTTTATAATATAGTGTAGGTATTGTGATGAATTTTGACGATCATCTCAATTATATAATAATAAAAAATAAAAATAAACATACTGCAGTTAATTATACAGTAATTTATAATGATTTACCTTAATAATTAATTTATAATGTTTATAGATGATTTCTGGTGGTATATTTTTACACGGTATATTTCAAATGGCAATCAAGTTATCACGACCTGTGTATTATTACATATATGATCACTTGAATTATGTATCATTTAATTCGTTGTATGGACCCTATCCATTTCCAAAAAAGTTAGGGGTAACACACACAGACGAAGTAACCAGTCTATTCTATACAGCGGATCGTGGAGACCTACWGGGAGAGGACCTTGGTGTATCTAATCTTATGGTGAACATATGGACAAATTTTGCGATCACCGAGTACGTTATCATGGTTGTTTGGTTATGATGGTGTCTGCGTACACAACTAATATATTTAATACAATTTAAAATTTTGGTTTAGCTCTATAACAATTGATGGTTCGAAAAAGGGAGAAAAATGGCCGAAATTTAACACCAAAAAATATGAATATGTTTTTATTAATACAAGTATTCCTTTAATTAAAGAGAGACCGAATGTTGATGAATACGAATTTTGGAATAGTTTGCCATTGTTGTCTGGATTGAATGAAGCCCGAGCGTCAGTTAAAACTGAACTTTGATTCCGTATTTATAATCAAATGAACWTAATTAACTAATATTTAGTTTAATTGGCCTTAATTACTTAGATTATATTTAAATCAGTTGATATTGAAAATTATACAAAAAATAATGATATATTGTATAAATATTATAAATATTTAGTAAAGATAGTACAAGAAATGTAGAAAAAAAATATGGACTACATTTCTATTATAGTTTATTTTAACATTTAAAACATAAGTTGTAAGAAAAAGAAATAATAATAAGAAAATTATTTATACTCAAGCACTAACTGTTTCATTATTGTGTCTATTAAATTGTAATCAAGTAGTAGKTAAATGTTCTTAAACACTTTTGTAGTAATTAATAGACAGTTATTAATTTTTATTTCATGATATAGTTTAAGAAGATCGTGTATACTACTATATCATAATGAATTAGTTAAGTGTTATAAAATATAAAAGTACAGTTTGTAATTTGTATAGTATAGTAGATTAAAATAAAGTTAATTAGTTGAAAATGTACACAATTTAACACCTTAATTATTGACTATCATAAAATTGTGTAAATAGGTTTATGATATAAATAGGCATTATCAAACAATTATTACAAAATTTAGTTTCAAATATAATAATTATATTCGTAAAAGTTTCAAATCCGCAATAGAAATAAAGATTTGGTTTACGACAAAATAACATAAAGCAGATACCCATAATCATAAGACAATATGAAAAAAAAAATAGATAGGCTTCAGAACCCCCAGTTTTTTCATTAAAATTGCGCCTTGGTGCAGAGAGACGTCTTCATCAGTCGTTTAGTAACTTTCTGAATATTTGTTACGATACAATACTCACATGAATAATAAATTATTTCATAAGATATCAAAATTATATCGTATACTTACTATTGTATGGTACTAACTGCAAGTTTTAGGACGAATAATAAATAAAATCATTGTACCTTGTATTTTTTTTATCTCATCACCTACTCCAACATTTAAAACWAAATTTTGTTTTTCTTATTTAAAATACGCAGAGCTATCTAATTGACATAATCTATTTTGAATAGATTTAAATTTTTTTTTTTTAAAGCATTTTGATATATCTTAAATTATTTTACTATATAGATAGTTAGGCAGTGCAAGGAGATGTCTCACAAATTGATATAATTTATTTATTTATTTATTATTTATCAAGATCTTAGTTTTTTTTTATAAATATATTTTTTTWWWWT